GCCTGCAAGACTGCCGTGCAGCTGCTGTTTGGCCAGGCGGGACTGGTAAGTGTGTGTGAGGGGAGGAGACAGGCTGTGGGGTGCCGTCTGTGCAAAAACACTGCTCTTGGGCGGCTGAAGCAAAAGGAGGAGTTTGAAGTCAGTCAGAGACATAGGAGGACCCTGCCGTCCCCACAAAACTGATTGGTTGGTTGGTTTTTATTTTATTTTATTTCGAGACAGGGTTTCTCTGTGTAGCCTTGACTGTCCTGGAATTCGCTCTGTAGACCAGGCTGGCCTTGAACTCACTGAGATCTCCCTCCCCAGTTCAGGGATTAAGGGTATGCACCACCACTGCCCAGCTGTTAGTTTATTTTGAATACGTTGACAGCCTGTGTTTGCTGGGAATCTGGTTACAGAATGATGCTGTTGCAGGCTTTCCTCATTTAAGGAGACAAGTGCATTAGTACTGCTTGGGTGGGCCTTGACCGCTCTGTAGCCACACTGGAGTTTCCCATTGCTCCCTGGAGCCAGGCCTCTTACCTCAGGCTCCTGCACCTAGCCTGTTCTCTCTGTCTTCACGTGGTGCACTGGCTTCTCATCTGTTCCTGTCAGCCCGTTTCACCTCTGAGAGTCACTTGTGACTGGTGCTCCTATCAGCGGGACCCCCAGTCCAGTCATTTCCCACTCTAGCTCTCTGCCCATTCACTGTATCAAGTTGAGGACAGCGGTTTAATCTTTTTACCTGCCAGAGAAAAAGGAAAAGAAAACAAAGACAAAAGAAACTCTGGGTGGGGTCCGGAGCTCAGCATCTGCAATCACTGTTAGTTTTGTCTGGCACGTCCACCATGTAGCTTTTGCACGTATGTGATTCCACCTTGTCGTCACATTCCTTCTGACAGACTGAGCATTTGCATCAGAGGTTGGAAAAAGCTAACTGAGAGTTCAAAAATCAAAGAACTTGCTGGGCATGATGGCATTCACACGGCACTCTGGAGGCAAAGGCAGGGGCATGGGAGTTTGAGGTTAGCTTGGTCTACAGAGACTGTTCCAGGCTAGCCAGGGCTACAGAGTGACACCTGGTGTCAAACAAACCAACAAATATAATGCTCTTTGTAGTCCAGTTTCATGCAGGTTGGCTCCCTAGGGCCTAGGTCAGGGCACTGCTGCCTTGTGATGGGCAGTGGGGACCTGTTCACAGAGCTGGGCTCCATTTCCTTGAAGATATTTATGTATAGGAAGAGAAGCAAGAAACAGGAATCACCTAGTAACCTACAAAAGAGAGACTGAGCCCAAAGGTCCTTGAGCTGAAGCTGTGGGCTCTGGCAGTATGTTCTCCAGAACACGGTGTACGTTAGGAGAAGGGGTTTTGAGAAAACATTGTAAGCTAAGGAGGAAAAGTCTAATCTGGGTTTACTTCCCACCACTGATGGCAGGGCTCCTTTGTGTAGCTGACAAAGAACCTTTAGGACCGTAGTCATAGGAGTGGAGGGAGAGGGGAAACACCTGTCAGCTCCAACAAAGGCTGTCCTTGGACAGGAAATGTTTGCCAAAGGTCCAGCTGTGAGAACCCCCATTTATAGTTTATAGTTTATAGCGGTGGAAATCAGCACAACTACAAGCTGTGTTTGGAATCGTGAGAAGTACCCCTCCCTCTTCTGAAATGGAGATGTAGTTTTCTACTAGTGAGCTGTATCCTCAGCCCTTGAATGTGCATTCTTTCTGCCTCAGCATTGCAAGTAGCTTGGATTATAGGCCTGCATCACCAGGCCCAGCTCGGCTCACCTTGTGAAAGTGTTTTCCTTTCCGTTCTATAAATGTTTAAAATATTAAAATAAAGGGTTGCATAGTCTTCTCCTCCCTCTTCTTTCTCCTCTCATTTATCTCTTCCATTTAAACATTTATTTTAGGATTTTATTTTTATTTTATTTTTTTATTTTTGTTTTTTCGAGACAGGGTTTCTCTGTGTAGCTTTGGAGCCTATCCTGGCACTCACTCTGGAGACCAGGCTGGCCTCGAACTCACAGAGATCCGCCTGCCTCTGCCTCCCGAGTGCTGGGATTAAAGGGGTGCACCACCAATGCCCAGCTAGGATTTTATTTTTAATTGTGTGTGAGAGAGAGAGAGAAGAGAGGGAGGGCGGGAGGAGGCCAAAAGAGGCCATTGGATCTGTTGGAGCTGTAGTTGCAGGTGGCAGTGAGCGGCCTGGTGTGGGTGCTGGGAGCCACACCTTGTGGAAGAACAGGGAGCACTCTGAGCATGTGAAGCTGCTTCATTTTGAGAGAAGGTCTCCTACTGCTCAGCTGACCTTGAACTCATAGTGTATCTGCCTTAGCCTCACAAGGGTCAGGATGACAGCCATGCTCATCGTGACTGGTTTGCTGTTGGAACTGCTACAGTATGGGCAATGCCTGAAAGTTGAGCGGGTCTCACAGTTAGAATGTGGGTTCTGTGTGTTCAGTCAGCAGTACTTGTGTTGTGTGTGGGGCCGCACTGTGGGGTCTCAGTGCAGATGTGCTGTGGGCAGTCCTGCCAGGCACTGAGCATCTGACACACTTACCAACCTGGATGTCTGCTCACTTCTGTTTCTTCCTAGGTGGTTGTTGACACAGCACAGATTGAAAACAAAGAAGCCTACGCACCCCAGATCAGTCTAGAAGGCTCCAGAATTGTGGTTCAAGTCCCATCCACATGGTAATTCAATTCTTTTTATTTTATTCTATTTGTTAGTTTATTTGGTTTCTTGAGACAGGGTTTCCCTGTGTAACAGCCCTGGCTGTCCTGGAACTCTCTCTGTAGACCAGGTT